AAAATGCACAGCTTCACTTTCAAAGAAAAATTTGCCCCTGAGAATCCGGTGGCAAGAAACCTGCGACCAACCTGTGCCCCCTAAGAAATCCTCCCTGTCTGGATGGAGGAATCGTAATCGTTTTCAGAAGCAGCAAAACCTTGTCAACCTCGTCGCTCACTAGGTGTTTCAGCAGCCTGAAAACCATCTACCAGGCTTTCTATCCAATCAGCTGCTATAGAGTATCTGTGAGTTTTTAGTTTCTTTCTAAAATGCTAAGATTTGAAAGACTGGAGGGGCACCTGGGTGGCTCGGTAGGTTGGGCATCTGACTTCAGCTCAGCTGGGAGCCCTTGGAGTTCGTGAGTTCGTGAGTTCGTGAGTTCGTGAGTTCGAGCCCCACAACAGGCTCACCGCTGTCAGCCTGTCACCACAGAGCCCACTTCGGATGCTCTGCCCCTCTCCCCCCTCTCCGTCCCTCCCCGGCTTGTGCCCTCCCCAAAATAAATAAATAATAGTAATAAAAGAAAGCCTGGAAACGTTTGGCCTCTGCTGGTGGCCCTTGCACTGTTGGTCACCTCCGATGGCCTGCCTTCCTGATGTCAAACTGAAGGCCGTCTATTTTGTTCTCTGTTTCCTCACTGTTGTACCTGCTGGACTTGCCCCTTTTCCAAAAGATAGCTTTGAGCTCGTGGAAGCCTGCTTTTGGAGAGGTGCTGAGCATCTCGTCCTGAGAGGCATTCCAGTACACTCTGGATGACAGCCTTAACGACAGGGTTGGATGAGAGGCAACCTTCAGTAAGCTTATTTAAGGACGTCTCCAACCGGAACACTAGACTGCCCTGAGGAACGGGGTAACCCTGGATTCCTCGTGGTGCTCAGAACATGGGAGAGAAGATTACGGTCCTTGAACAAAGCTTCATCTACTGAGAAACTTTACCTACAAGGTGGAGGTAGCCCATTTGATTAACTTTTTTTTGTTGTTGTTTTTACCTGTTTCCATTTAAACTTTACAGAAGAGGAGGGAAAAAAAATCAGCGATGATTTTTTGGGGCCGTTTTTCTTCTTGCTTCCTTGGGTTCCTCAGACAAAGGAGGCCTTCAGTAGGGGTGAGGGAAGGGAGGAGCAGCCGCTATGATGGTCTTGGAGGAGGCTGGTTGCTGAAGAAGGAAAGCAAAGGCAAGAGGCACGTCCAAGTCTGCTTGCCCAAATGTTCTTTTTCTTTTTTCTTTTCTTTTTTTTAACTTTTTAACGTTTCTTTATTTTTGAGAGACAGAGCGTGAGCAGGGGAGGGGCAGAGAGAGAGGGAGACACGGAATCCGAAGCAGGCTCCAGGCTCTGAGCTGTCAGCACAGAGCCCGACACGGGGCTCGAACTCGCGAACCATGAGAACATGACCTGAGCCAAAGTTGATGCTTAACACACTCAACTTGTCTGCTTCTTTCATTTCCCACACGCCTGCCACCCCCCACCCCCACCCCACCACGGCTCTTGAAGCCCCAAAGTGAATTTTAAAAGTTGGGCTGTGAGGTCCGGCCACCAGGAAGTCGTAGGACGGCCACTTAAATCGGGCGGTGGAGCCTGTGCAGTCTAGAGCAGGGCTTGGCCGACCACAGCCCACTGCCTGTTCATATAAATAAAGTTTTATTGGAACACAGCCATGCCCATTTACGTATTGTCTTGGCTGCTTTCCCACCAGGAGCGCAGAGTTGACAAGTCGCTGGAGACCATGTGGCCTGCGAAGTCTAAAACGTTTACCGTCTGGCCCTTGACGGGAAAAATTGCCAACTCCTGGTCAAGAGCGGTGACTCTTGGCCCTGGCTCAGTGTCAGCATCACCTGGGGAGCTTTAAAAAATGCAGATGCCTGGGCCCCGCCCCCAGGGGTTTGGATTCAATTAGTCTGGAGTGGAGCCCAGGCGTCCCTACATTTTAGTTTCCCCAGGTGACTGTCCTTTGCAGCCAAAGTTGAGAATCACATGTTTAGTCTCAGTGGGTTTTTGTTTTTTGTTTTTTTTTTTTTAAGATTATAGAACTGGAATTTGCCATTCTCCAGGATTTCTACCCAAGGACAATGATCCAACCTTGACCTCGATGTCAGAGTGCAGCCCTTAGGTCTGAGCCACCTGTCTATTGCCTGAGGGAGACCTCTGATGATAAAATCCCTACAGTGACCCCGGGGACTAAATGTGCCTGAAGAGGGTTGGAGGTGAGACGCGTTACGGTGAGGGGCCGTGTCTGCCCACATGCACGCCTGCACGCACACGGGGACACGCATCAGGGTGGCTCGTGTAGGTAGGTAACTGTTGTCCGTTTTCGAACGAACGTGTCTCGAGAAGGAACCCATGTTGGGGCGCCTGGGTGGCTCGGTACGCTAAGCGTTTGACTCCTGGTTTCGGCTCAGGTCACGATCTCATGGTTGGTAGGTTTGAGCCCTGCGTCGGGCGCTACGCTGACAGTGCGGAGCCTGCTTGGGATTCTCTCTCTCTCCCTCTCTCTTCTACCCCTTCCTCACTTGCTCTCTCTCTCTCTCTTTCCAAAATAAATAAGTAAACTTTAAAAAAATAAAAGGAACCAGCGTTTCGTGACAGCGTTCATAATTGTCACCTCGGCACAGCTCCGTCCCAGGGCCCCAGCCCAGGCAGCTGGTCCTCTCTCCTGCTAATTAACGTGAAATGTTGGTGACACTTCCAGCTGGAGGAGAACCTGACACCTCTTGCCTTCCCCCATCACAGGTTTCCAGCCCTACGTCTCTTGCTCAGGGTAGGAATTTAAAGTCGCACTGGTGTCACTTTTTGCTGGCAGGCGAGAGTTGTAAATGGGAATTTCACAGTTTGCTTTATCCCTCGCATTTAAAGCAAATATTAACCACCTTGCCTTCCACGGTCTGTGTCTCCCATGTGGAGCCCAGTGCCTTCTGCCCTCCTGGCCGCTGTCCCCTTGGGGCCTGCTCTTTCTGGAGCAGAACCGTGTCCACCAGCCAGAATAACCAACGCGTCCCGGTTTGCCAGGGCCTTTCCCTAGTTTTTAGCACTGAACGCACCGCGTCCCAGGACCCCCTCAGTCTCCCTCAGTGAAACGGGACAGCTGGTCACCCTGATACTTGGGATTCTCGCAATGGGTTTGCCTTTGTCCGTACTTGAAAACGTTGGTATGTCAGGTCAGGTGTGGGGTTTGTTGAAGACAGATGTGCTTAAAAATGCAAATTAAGGGACACCCGAGTGGCTCAGTCCTCTGAGGGTCCGACTTCTGCTTAGGCCGTGATCTCACGGTCTGTGGGTTCGATCCTCATGTAGGGCTCTGTGCTGACAGCTCAGAGCCGGGAGCCTGCTTCGGATTCTGTGTTTGCCCCTCCCTCACTCTCTCTCTGTCTTAAAAATATATAAACATTAAAAAATATTTTAAAAATGCAAATTAAAATCATTTGTGTGAAGTTTTTTTAAGAATACGTAGCTGAACCCAGAGGTTGAGCTGATTCTTATGAGGCCTGTTCTGTGGATAAAACACCAGGTCAGCCTTTATCCTTCAGTTGGACAACCTGGCATGAAACAGAATCTTCATGAAGGTCCTTCAGTAGGATGTTAGCTCTGAAGGGGTTCGACCAGCCCGGTGCCACGGGGAGAGTTTTGGCTTACGGTGACCGGGCTAGGGTCTTCTCCCAGCTGTACTGCCAAGGCTGGGGCAAGTCACGTGTCCTGGCTGAGGCTCGGTGCCCTCAGCCACCTCCGCAGGTGGCCGGGAGAATTCAACGGCGGACATCTGGTGATTCTCACTGCGTCAGGAAGAGGCTTAGCATTGACTTCTTCCCTTCCTTCCTGGGGAGCCTGGTTCTCACTCAAGACAGATGTTAGGGGCACCTGGGTGACTCAGTTGGTTAAGCATCCACCTCTCGGTTTCGGCTCAGGTCATGACCTCATGGTGTGTGAGTTCGAGCCCCACATCGGGCTCTGCGCTGACAGTGCGGAGGCTGCTTGGGTTTCTCTCTCTCCCTGTCTCTCTGCCTCTCCCCCACTCACACCGTCTCTGTCTCTCTCAAAATAAATAGATAGAACGTAAAAAAATGTCAAAAAGGCAAGCGTCCACTAGGGTAGGCAGCTGCCCCAGCAACAACCCCAAGATGCCTGTGTCTTCACTCAGTGACCACGTATTTCTGACTCACTGGGGTCCAACAGTGATATTCATCATCGGGCGCCGCTGCTGGGTGATCCTTGCCCAAAGGGGAGGCTCAGGAGTCCAGTCTCCTTCCCTCTTGTGACTCCGTCATCCTCTGTGTCCTTGGAACTGTCCCCGTGGGGGTGGGCACAAAGCACCGAGGATCGTACAGGCCTCGTCTGAAAGTGGCGTACCTCAGACCCACTTACCTTCCGTCGGCCGGTACTCCGTGGCGAGGCCCCCACCACCTGCCAGGGGGGCTGGGAAATGTAGTTTGGCTGTGTGCCCAAGAGGAGAAGGAAACTGGGTTTGGCAAACACATGATAGCCTCTGTCACAGGACGTGTAGCCGCCTAATTCATTGGCCGTCAGGACCCGGTGGAGACATCCCCCGTTAATGAACATCTCTGTGTTTCCAAAGTAGGCTCCTACAGGAAGTTGTGGTTAATTTTACACAGGAAAAGGGTCTGGCTTCCAGTGATCTTCAAAATAAAGGAATCTCTTTATTGCAGGACTTATCAGGGCTTTTACTATACCGCTATTTCTCAGACTTATTGGACTCCTCTTTGGAGAGAGGCCTTTGAGAACTAGCAGTCTACAGAATGTGCTCCAGAAAACACTGCTTTAGAAGTTACTCAGAATTCAGAAGGCAGAACACTTTCACGAAAACACTGGTGTAAAAAAACATCCCCAACATTTGTGGTCCGTGATGGAGAGTTCAGTCCTGCAAGGATCTCGGTGTCAAGGGTCCATGCGGTGAGCCTCCGCGGTAGGTGAAGAGAATACTTTTCTGCCTTTCCTTCCTTCTTCTTTTCTTCCCTCCCTCCTCCTCTCCCTCTCTCCATCCTTCCTTGTGGGACCTGTCAGGACAGGGGTCCACGTCTTATTATCCGTGGCTGAGCATCGTCATCATTATCGCCTCCCTGGATGGGTATGGGAATGATCTGTCCCGTGCCACTTAAATCCCCATCTCGATTTCAGCTGGACACGTCGGGGCAGCCGACCCGGTCTTCCCATCTGGGTGGATGTTAAAAATCCCTTTTCCTAAGCTTGGGTTTTTATGGCCGGCTGGCGTCATCCGTCATCATAAAAGTGGACTGAGATTTAGCACTGAGGTTAGACAGAATCACACAGAAAAAACTACAGCGGGTTTATTTTTTTTTT